CAGTTGTTCTAACTACAAACTAAACCTTTTGAGTTTTTATGACAACTGAAGTCTATCACAGGTTCTCTTTCATGTTTGGAAGGGGAGGGTGAGGTGAGGGGTATTCAGCTTCAACTGCATGCAACTTCACCACTAGATACACTGAACCTTTAATGCAAGTATGTTTTGCAAAGGCACCATCTGGGCCAAAGATCTGACAGAGGGACACTTTTTTTATAGGAGCATAAAAATGCATCAAACCCAATCTTAAGAAAATCCCTTGTTTTCTATATGTACTGTTTTTCATTAACATCTTTCATTTTAGGACATCTGGAGCTGATCCTCAGGCCCTCTGATGTTTGCAGGGGCCAATATATCACTGGTGTTACAGCCAGAGGGTAACATCACTTTGCCACCTATGAAGTCCTCCTCTTTGTCTGATGTTTGATATGTGTAAAAAGTAGGTTTCTGTAGATTTCATCAACTTCATGCTACACTGAGGAAGTGTTTGCAATTGAATGATACAGTATCGGGTAGAGCACTAAATCAAAGAGGCATCAAGACTCTACTGTTTAAATATGGGATCAAACTAAAAAGGGAAAAACTGAGTATGTGGTGATGAAGTTATGGAGGAAAACCACAGAAAGAAGCTTGATCAGCAACAAAGCTGGAACCTCAGTTTAGAAAGAGAAGGTATTTATCACTTTCCCCTTTTGACCTGTGCCACATCAAGTGCATTCCAGCATTCAGCCCATCCCTGACGTGCACTGCCATGTTGTGGTTAAATACTCATTTCAAAACACTCTCATGAACCATTTATCATAAATGTGGGTTTGATACAATGACTTACTGAAGAGTGCTGCTGAGGCATATTTACAAAATACCAAGATGGCGGCCAATGATGTGGAGAGGTCTGTTTCTTCTCTGCACACTCTAGTCTGTTTATATTTTCATGATGCTCTGCACTACGTCACATATTTCTTTGCTCTGATTTTAGAAGGGTCTATCCAACTTTTTTTCAGAGGCATTTTGGTCCATAGCTGACGATAGAATTGAAAATTAAATGAGAGGTTTGACAGCACTTTGCTAATGGGAATTAGTCTGGTGATGCCAAGCTAAGAAAGGCCACTGTGGCTCTGTGTCACTTTTGTGATACAAACTGTGATGATGACGTTTGATCTTAACAGTAAAATATAAAAGTAATTGCACAATTTCATTTAATGCAGACATTATGCCTGTCTCATTCAAAGAAGAATTCAATAATTATGATGCTCTGATAAGAGCATCTAGTAATCCTTCAAAACAAACCTGATATTGAGCAAATTAAATGTTTTGGGACTTAGCTCGGTATCTATCCACACATACAACTTGATGAATGCAGCTAAATAGAGCTTGTGATACAAAAAGGAAAGTATATAGAAGAAAGGAGTCACTTTTATTATTTATTTGAAATGTTTTTGGAGCAGAAGGGAACCAATGCTGTTGCCTTGACTACCAAGAATCGAAGACGACGACAAAAAGTAAATGAGAGATATGACAGAGACAGATCTTTGGTATTCTTTCCCACACTCTGACTCATAATTATACATCCTGGTTATTATTTATCAAAAATGTTTACAGAGCTCCCAGCTGCTCTTAATATATATTTTTTTACATTTTGCAAGACAATGCAAGTCACTTTCTGTTATACTGCCATCATAGGTAGTAGTTCTGAAAACTGGCTGTGCTACACAACATGGATTTGTGCCTATGGCCCAGGAGTCCTGTGACGCAGCATGAGCTGAGAACAGACACTGCCTGTCCTCCCTGCTCATTCAGAGGTCCATCAGGAATGTGTAACTCTGTGTAAGTAGTACAAGTCGGTAAATGTGTGTCATTCCATAACAATCTCAGCATGAGGCCATGAGAAATGTAACACCCTGAGCAGTTGTATGTAGGTATGTGTACACCAACAAGGGTCACAGGGATTATGGCAGCAGGGCGTGGCAACCTGAGACAAGACAGCGGATTACTGGTCCTAATCAGGTCAATTGGCCCTGTCTGCAGGGTTCAGCGGTGGGATGACCATTCTTCATCTAAACCCACGCTCCCCACCTTGCTGCCCACTTGTGCTGCCAGCTCTCTCTGCATTGACCACAATTCATTCATACGAGATGGACTCATTGTGGTTTATGCTGTGGTGATGGCCTTCTCTCATGTGTAACTGACACTGGAGCTCAGCTAATTCCCCCTGTAGGATGTTTGTAAGGTCACATCCACTCAGCCTGAACTGAGAGGGGACTCAGCAGAATTGTATCTGAAGTGTGAAGGTTGCATTAACATGGTGACCTTCTGTTTGTTCTAACAATTTATCAATACATTTATTCCAAGCCTTGGTTGTGGATAGCTTTTGATAAGGCATTAAAAATATCACTTCTAACACTATACATTAACACAAATGGAGAAAAAAAGATCATGTAGGAAATACTCTTTTGGGTGTGGTAATGCTCTAATATAAGAGAGGATCTGCTTCTTCTTACGCACTGTGTGAGATGTCTCAACCATCTTTGGTCATACATATGTGAGTGGCTGCTCACTGGCTGACGGGGAACATAAAACATGGGTTATACAACGAGGGATCGATGTGGAGCACACATCAGGGGCTCTGATGAAGTCAGGCTTCGGGTGTCCTGGAGTTATTCAACATTTGGAGCCCCAACACTAACTGATGGACCAGTCTATCACGTCACCCCCTTTATGATTTCATTAGCTCTGGTATGTTTAAGAGCTTCCAGTGAAAGAGGCCTTTACTTGTTTCCAGCCTGCCCATGGAGGCCTTAGACACATTTCCTGCACACTGGATAATCAATTTTCTACCCCTGTGCCTGCACCCTATCCTTGACAACCTTCCATGCATAGAGAAAAGGGGAGAGAAAGAGGAAGAGAGAGAGAGAGACAACATACCCTGCCCTTGCCCCCTCTTTCTCTGTGCTGTTGACACACACAGACAGACACATATACCCTTGAGCGAGTCACCACAATAAGGGGAGTGTCACGGCTTTAGCCGCACATCTACAAGCTGACCAAACAATTCCACTAAACATGTCTTCTCTGTCAGGCAGCTTTGTCCATACTCCCTAATATAACCAACACACACATGTATTGCAGTGCACTGTATTTTGGCAAAGTATGAAATACTAAACAGAGAAATTTCAATTTCAACATTGAGAAGTGGATTTTCAAAGTTGTCATAGTCACACAACCAAATTCATCTGTTTAGGACAATGTGGTTTGATAATCCTCCTAAGAGAATTGGGAAATTACACACAGTAGTCATTACTTGCTGTAATCAAAAAAATCCATTGAATATGGCCTCCCAAACATACCACTGTTTCCTTGTTTGGACAACAAATGTAAGTTACGTGTGACTTTTGGAGATAGAGATAGTGAGGACATCCGGAAAAGCATGGCTACAAAATAAATCGAATTTCCACATTGCACGTCATCAGATCACCTAAACTACAGTATGCACATGTGCATGTTTGAGCTACTGGCTCCATTGAACTGCTCAGAATCCTAATAAGACAGCACTCTCAGCATACCATCTGCAATGAAGTACTGATGAAGGGAAGGAGTATGGCCGTCTGCCAGCGTCCCTTTCTGCTCTGCAATCTGCCCATGTGATAGGATGTAGAGTAAGCAGTACTGCAGCCTTCTCCTCTCCCCTTGCTCACACACTCACTAACCCCCCCAAAACACTGCATATTCCACTGCAGTTCTGCTACAAACCACGAGTCACCCTCCAGCACCTCTGAATGACATTGACATAATGAAAACCCAGGGATACGGAGAAAACGTACTGGGGATTTGACACAAAGCTTCTCTTTGGTAGAGTATGAGAGATAAAGGGCAAGTGAGCCATAACTGGTTGGGACACTTGATCTTATGGAAGATTCATATAGGCTTAGTCTAACAAGCCCAATAAGATAGACAGACAAAAGTCAGGGCAAATAAGAGAGCCTGCTGGAAGAGCAGGTTTCTTCTGTCGCATGCTGTCTTGTTAAAGTCATTAAATACTTCCATGCTAATGTTGTTGTGTTCAATGTGATATACTGCACAGGAAAGAGAAGCTAGCACTTCCCAGTACCTGATGACTCAGTCACATGTGAGCAGGCTGAATCCCAATAATAGACATCACATTCAGGTTTTTATGCCCCTTCACAGATTCCACCATAACAGCACAGCAGGGGATCATCACAGATTTACACCATCAAGCTTTAATGGAATGTTCAGAAATTATCCTTTCAATGTGCGTGATTATTAAATTACACTTTCAACACACTTTGCATGTACATATATTATAACCCTAAACCTATAAAACAAAAATCAGATCTCAGTCTCTAGTTTATTTCAATAGATTCATCTTTCTATGATCAATGTTATATTTTAGGGAATTTTGGTCACATATCCTACCCATGTGCAAAAACTTTAAAAGAAATCTGGTGAAAATGCAGTATTATTTTTTATCTCACACACATTTTCTTTTGAAGTGACAGTAAAATAAAAAGCACCACACTGTGTAAATGATTCACTACAGGTCGTAACACTGCACATGTCTCTACAACCTCTTCACAAACTGTTGTGTACACTGATAACATAGCTACAAAGCAACATGCATATCAACTGTGTGACCAAGCCTTGATCAATTGGGGGTTTGCAGACCAGAGTGTGTGTAACAAACCCCTGGGTCTCCCAGTATGAACAGACTCAGCATTTCCCACACACACAGAGACTCCTCGGGTATTCAGGCCCATTCAGAGGAGGAGGAATTCCACCCTGTAAGCCTTTTCTTCTCTTTCAAGCTGTTTGTCCCCAACCGTCCACTATTCAGTTTGCTCATTCTACTGTTCTCTCCTAAGACCCCTGAAGGAAGACCACGTGGGTGCATGTGTGGTATACCAAGCTTCCCTTTGCTGAGAGGCCCCCCACAAATTTAAATTTAAGAAACAGTGTCATTGTGTTGATGCCAGTGGACTACTTACTTGTGGTGTTGCCTTGCATCTGAATTATACATTTTGAATCCTTGCTCATCTCCCTGGAGTTGAAGGGCCGAACTCGAACAGCGACTTTTACAGACGCCCCAGACATGTTTGCAGCTTAGGACCGGCACCCAATAAGAATCCTTATATATCCCTCCTAAAAGGAAACACAGAAAATGAGATGTTTGCATCTATTTTGTAAAAAATAAATGAAAACTAAAGGAATGGAAATCAAACACCATCAGAGTCCAACGCCTATTGTAACAGTCCACAACAAATATGGCCGACCAGAGCCAGCGAAGGGCTTTAACATTTTGTAAACAGCAGCTGATCAAACATTTAACAATCACCTAAAGGCAGCATTTGATGCTGAACTCATACATTCACAGTAGGGGTCAAATACGCTTTTGCCAAATTAAAATGTGAATACAGTATTAATCGATTTGCATGTATAGGGGGCATAATTGATATTTTCTATTGAAACAAGTTTGCTATATGTTGACAGTCAATATAAGTTAATAGCTCCGACGCCCCGACGCCTCCGACTGCACCGGGCAAATATCTCATGTTTTCCACGTCCTTGCTGTCAGCCATACTGGCTAAAGCATACGCCCATGAAATTCTATCTCCCCCTGTTTGGTGTGGGCTACAGCGGGTTAGTGAGCTGGGCCTGTGTGCTGCATCCAGCAGTGTCCATCCATCCATCCTGCGCAGACAAAGAGCTTTAAAGCTTCATGTTTGAAGAAAACATTAAATTCGCCCATGTTAGGAAGTAGGCTAATCCTCCGCCGCTGCATGATGATGTTGTGGAACCGTGCAGGGAGGAGTTGCAGGATTGTTTTAGCAGCACACACTTCGACACGTTGTTCCCGGGTACGTGAGAGGGTGTAATCATTTCCTTGAAATCCTAATGGATGCAGTATTTCATACATTAGCTACTATGCTATTTTTACTGTATGCTAACGTTTAGCCATGTTGAACTGATGACTTTCGAGTTTCTATCGAACGTCACGAGACGGAAGCTCCGGTGTTCCTCTGGAGTGTGTCGCTGCACAACCACGAAGAAAACAGTGTAAACAACTGACATGTAACCCTCTGCACATTACATACGAGTATTTAACTGTTAGCATGACCGGGGTCCAGCGGTCCACGTCTCTGTGACCATTAGCTAACACACACACTTGCCTCACCTGCTAATAACAAACGCCTGGGATTCATCTGCGGAGACAAACTGATCCACAACAATGAAACTAATTCGGGAAGAGAACTTTACTCACGTTGGAGGTTTTTCACCGCGGCGGCGGCAGCAGCTCAGCAGTGACAAGTAACGGGAGCTAGCGGGGCGTCGATGTGCGCGCGACTGATTTTATATCAAAATCTGCCAAAACTGATAGAAAGTCCACTTGGATGAAAAACACCCATTCTAGCGGTGTCTTCCGCCGGATGGAGCCGAGACAACGACCTCGACGAGTCTGTTTCCCCGCGAAGATAATATATATGTATAAAAACCAGCGGGCGTCTCTGAGCAGAGGAGGAGAAGAAGAGAACTGATAGAGAGACTTGATTTAAAGAGATTACGTCAACTTGCTCTCGCCAACCTCTGACGGACAGGCCGGCGGGCCAATCAGCGGAGAGACGTCGGCGGCTAACGCGACGTAGAGCCAATGGTAATCCTGGGAATGGGACGGGAGCAGAGGGGGGCGGGGCCTCTTCTTGTCTCTCTCTTTTTTTTTTTTACGAACGTGACGTCACACTGCAGGATTTCTGCCCACCCAGCACCGCTGTCACCGCAACACGCAGGGTCACTTCGAAGAGCGCCACCTAGCGACCATGTCACCTCTCAGCAAACCCCACTAAATAAATACATCAATAAATAAATAAATAAACAGCTGCTGATACAGGCCTGCGTTTCATTACCTTCATAATTCCTGTTCTTCATTAATGTGAATGTATTTGCACACATGAAGTGCCATAAGGCCTATTTGACCTGCAGGTGTACAAATGGATTTATTTTCAAGGCACATATTAAAAACCACATCAGAATATATATATTCTTGTATTTTTTTCCAGATATAATTCACTTTTTAAGTGAAAGTTAATGTTAAATAATGTCAAATATATGATTATGTTCCAGCAGAGGACCAGAGGAGACCAAGGACATCCATTTATTTTTGTGCTCTAATGTTGTGTGATCTTTCAATTGGTGTTCAAGTGTTTCCAATTGTTTGCCTTCAATTTTTTAAACTTGTTAAACAATGTAACTGTGTTTTGAAATCTTCTGTATCAAAAAGTTTATTTTTATCATGTGTGCAAAGATTGAATTGGCTATTTTTGTATAATTAGACCGTTTTCAGGAGGGAGCCTGAGAGAAGAGATACAAAACAACTCTTTATCCAGTAAGTTTATTGATATGTAATAGTTCTTTCAGCAAAGGTTATTCAGGTTAAATTTGAATTTGATTTAATGTTTCTTTCTTTTTTTCTTTTTTTTTTCTTTTTCCACATGTATATGTAATATCTGAAGAAGATGTACCTGTTTGTAAATTGGTTGTCTCATAATCCCAACATATAACAACAATATAATAACAATATGTATGATATATGGTTTTTGCACATAGACAAATGTGAGCGAGTGACTGATGGGTATTTTTTGTTTAGAGAATAAACTGCTCCAGTTTATGCTGTATTATAGAACCCTGCCAATACATTTGGGACAAATGCCAAATTCAGTCACAATGTTGTTGCAGTTCTATTACAATTCAATTCAGTTGCTGTGACTGTAATTCATGCTTATGCATTTGGGAAACTGCACTTTAAAAGACAACCAAATGTGGAACTGGAATATATTAACTACCTTACCTGCCAGGAACCGGAGTAAAACAGAAAAAATCCATTGGGAATCAAATTTAATCTGAACAAATTGTATGGTTTATGAGCTCACCACTAAAACTATAATTTCTATAAATGAGTTTTTTGTTTTGCTGTTTGATTTTGGATAAGTTTAGTATTTGCTATTGTTTAATGTTTACTTTTTTCTTTACATAAATACATAGTGGAGAAGTTTAAAATTTGTGTGATGTGTAATGTCTGTCTTTTCATAATGTCAAATAAGTAACAGGCTGAACAAAAAGGAAAACAAAACCCCCAGGAAATCATCCTGAGGAAAAAACAGTGACCAGTTGTGACATAATGTGCATCATCATTTATTTCAGTTCAAAATCCTAGCTTCCAAAACAGGTTTGTGGTTAAAGGAAATCATTTCCTGTACAGTTAAGGTCAGCAAGGTCAAGTTAGGTACAGTGTCATTTTGAAGAGACCATGTTGAGGTGAGATGTCAGTGGCTCTGAAGAACAGACGTTTGATGGTGCGCTCCTACGATGGTGGTTCTGGTGTTCATGCTACATTCTCTCATGATCCGTTCACTTCACCTAAGAGAGGGTCATTTGTCCATGAGGCGCTTCTGAGGATCTGGACATGAGGCCATGCACACATGAAGTAAATTCACTCATTGAAGTCAGTTGGGAGAATTGTGTAAAAGGAACTGAACATACTGTATCTTGGTAAACCACTGCTCATCTTCCTACTGTACTCAAAAGGAAGCTAACATTTAGGATTAGTTTATGTTTAGCTACATCCTTATTAGATATCCCAGTTCTGAACTTCATCTACAAGCACCGACCGTGCATGTGTTCTGGGACACCAGCATACATTTTGTGGACTCAGATTCATCATTGTCACAGTCTTCACAGATAAAACTCAAAGAGAGCTAGCAATTTCATCAGAACCCACCCCCACTCTCCCAAATGTATCACCTTCCCTCCCGCCCCAAATAATTCTAAGTCTTTAATGAAGCTGATGTACACAGTATTACAAAACAAAATGAGAACAGTAAAGTAAAATGATCAGTGAAGTGGATGTTTGCACCTCCCTAGTAAACCTGTTGGTGAAAACGTATTCTTGCAGCATTAAAATGCGTTAACTAACTCTTGTTAAATATATGTATATATTTTGATATATATATACACAAACTCATGAGAAAAAACTTAAAAGTCTTAACTTTATTATGTTTTATTTTTAGAACCATGAAAATGGTTTTGAGACAAAAGGGGTAAATGCAAATAAAAAAAATTTAATCAGGTCTCCTTTTTTCCATTCATAATGTTTTTTTGTTGTCATTGGTAGAAGTGACACTGAATTCAGACGATTTGGACCGATCCCTTGATGATGGTTAGCAGGCCGTTTCAGCCGTTGGAGGTGTGCGGTCCTCAGAAGGGCCGTCCACCTTGTTTCTCTCTCATCCAGGCGTTAATCCTCTCCTTCAGCTCCGGGACTGTGGAGTTAACAACAGACTGTGAGGAGCAGCTAACATACTAACACTCACAATCAACTGGATAGAACATTTTTATATGCGATTAGTGAGGAAAAGGCAGTTTGGATTGGAGGTGTACCTGACTCCAACATGCTCTCTGTGAGCGGCTGCCTGTTGAAGGGATCGGTTGGGGAGTTGAGCAAGTGGCGAAGGATGATGGATCGGTCCATGATGTTCCCCGAAGGTAGGATCACAGGGTCAGTCATCAGTGTGTCCATCAGTGGGTCTGTTATTACACATCACATGCTCATGTTACAGACAATCAACAACCTTTAAGTCCTGGTTTGATCAATCTGTGCTGCACAGAAAATTTTACTGGCAGCACAACTGTCATCTATCACAGTGATTTATATCTCATTTAGCTTTTTAAAAAGGTATGATAAAGCTGAGAACCTAATTGACAGGTTGCGCCTTGTTTTTGGAGCTTAGCAGTCAAATGATGTGCATTGATCTAAATAGAGGGGTTTTCTGCTCGCTAATCTACTTTCTGTGTTTGAACATTAATACATTTTTTTATTTATTTTAAGAAAAATGAAAAACAACCAAATTCAATGACAAGCATGTGAGGCATGTTTTCATCATCAAACACATGATTGTGAGACAGTAACCCCAAGTGCTGAAAAAAAGAAAGAATCTGTTTTATATGACAGGAACATTAGTGAACCTAGCAAAACACCAGTTAACAAAACATCCAATAAATATCCATTGAAAGTATTTCATAGTGTGCCCTTTATTGAAATGTCAGAGGGTTGTTACAGTCGGACTTGTGCGTTACAAAAATAAAACCTGCCGTGGGAGATTTTAACCACATAGAAAGTCGATACACAAGCCTCCTGTATGGCACACTCCTATCAACTGTGGTGGGTTGGCTGGCGTATCTAGGAATCAAAGGAGGTATGTGGGCCACGTTCTCTGACTAGATTATATTAAGTCTGTGGTTATATGATAGCCCCCGCTCTAAGCCGTCTATATGACCTCTATGAGCTATAAAATCCCCCTCAAATGTCTGGCATTTTCACACATTTCAATGTCCGTCTGCACCGACTGACCTGAGGTCACAGGATTTCTCAGCAACTGACTTAATCTGCTTGGGGTCAAACAGTCAGTCACTTGCTAGATGAGGCTAAAGTAAACAAAACCTTTCTTATTTAATTCTAACATTTTCAATTTCATTTAAAAAATGTTTTAAAGATGACGCTGTGCCAAAAAGAGCTTAAGTGATAGTTTATGTGTTGTATTATAGCCACTCCACCTGTACTGAGATTAATTCCACCAACCTTGCTGTGGGATAATAAAAGAAACTTAGAACTTGACAGACAGGCCCTTTTTTTTTTTCTTTTTCAATGTGGATATTCAACTTCTACATGATAAGAAATTATTGAGAATCTCAACAAGACTATATTGCGTTTTCTGTACCTTTCATGATTTGGAGATAAACTCATTTTCTAAATAGGTTTGAGAATTTGTGATATTTAGACTGTACAGAAAAAAATTTGATATGTAGATATAAATATTAAGCAGGCCTTAGGAATTTCTTATTACATAGGATTGATAGTAAAGTATATAGAAAATGGGATATGAGCAAAGAAGGGAAAGAATATAGTATGTAACACTTAGCATTACCTCAGCCAATTTAACTTGATTGATTTAAATGTTGATGGTACATTATTGGCTTAAAAAAACAAAAACAAACACAAACACACACATACACACACCTTTGAACTCGTCAGGCGCATCACTGTAGTCCATCTCAGACTGGGAGTTCCTGGCGACTATTTCCTCCACCTTCTCAGACAGCAGCTTGAATTTTTCAATGGCGATGGATGACTTGATTCCAGCCTTCCTCATCTTTGAGATCACCTCTTCAAAGAGCTCACGGCTGTACGACCGCTGCAGAAACAAACAACAAAGGAACTTCTATCAAATGGACACAGTACCACTTGAGTTACAGTGAATGCTTTGAACTTCTCACATAACACATTAAAGTGCAAATCTTGAAGATCTTCATTGAAATAGCAAAACAACTGAGAGCTGCAGGCGACAGGCTGCTCACCCGTTTTGCTGCATAACTTCTCAGCAAGGTGACCGTTCGCTGTGTTTATCATGCTCAAACACTATTTGTGATAAACTGTAAACATAAACTTCATCTGTACTAACCTGGTCGTCTGCAATTGCTTTAGCAAAACGGGCAC